CCCCCCCTTTATCTAAGGAACATACTAAGGAAGGAACAAACCAAGAAACAAACTTCAAAAGCGGTGAATCGTGTTTGGGGAAATGGGAATTTCCTTGGGTTGTAAAACTATTGTAGAAACGTTTTAGGGATGTTATCCTTGAAAACTGTTCCGGTGCATAAATCGTGCATTCCAGTCTTACCTCGTTATATTTCCTGTAAGTTGGATTTCGGAAGGCGTCTTCATCTGCTCTTAAGTGAGCCCATAGTGATAAGGTTAAGGTTGAAACCAGAAGCTTTTTTCGGTCATTCATGTTATTACAAAGAAAATTTCCAAACCTTCAAAAGAAGAACAGTTAAATCAGGATACACGAAATTGGCAAGGAAGAAAGAAAAAACATTTAGTGAAGGAGAGAATGTTGGGCAGGGGGAAGTTTACAGGGAAAGAATTGTAGAGAGGAAGGAGAGAGAGAGGAGAGGGAGAAAGGGTGGAAAAGTAGGAGAGGGAAGGGGAAGAAACGGTAAATGGGGTCGAGGAAGAAAACAAATAACAACTACTTACCATTGTGAATTAACCTGGTCTGCTATTCTAACTAAATACAGCGGAGTAAATTCGAAAGCACTGGGAAATTGTTGCACAATCTGAAAGGCACAAAACAAGCCTAAGTAACATCAGCGACGAGGGAGGGTTTGTGAGGTTAGTTCCTAAAACTAGCCCATAATCATGTGACAAACCAGGTAGAGAGAAAACAATAACAATCAAACAAAGACATATGATCCACTTAATCGCATAAAAAACAGAAAATGGGTTCCACAAAATTTAAGGGCAAGTAGTAAGGTTAAGAAAGCTTAAAGGACATTTTTTACCAGAAAAAAGGAGGGAAAAATTTAATAGGAGTATCAGAAATACATAAACAAACAAACAAAAATTTCGCATCAATTTAATCAACTGACCTGCCATACACAATCCAAGAACTGTAAAAACACGGGCGACCGCTGACTAGGACATGATGGATGACCAAGCCGATCACGGAACCGATGACCAAAAGATATCCACTCTTTTTCTATAAGAACCTTGAATTGGAGACATCCAAAGTTATTTTTTTTTTGTATACTCCGAGAAACATTTATTCATTTTCTTTGCGATTAAAAAAAAACCACTGTTCTAAAATTTTGGTTTTAAAATAAAGTGCGAGAGTACGGCACGTGTACCTGGAATCCTGTTATTGTTCTGTAGAACGGATCCAGAAGGAGCTGAGCTAGTGACGTCAGCTGTGACGTTCGATCCCACCCGTCACTGCAGTGCACCAGGGCAGCGGCTCCCTTATCAACAAACCGTGCTATTGTCACGGCACCCTAAAGCAAACAAGTAGACACAATAAACAAACAGTTTACAGCGGAAAAAATGAAATCACAATAAAAAACACCTCTAAACATGACATCGGTAAGACCCCTACTGATGGAACCAAGTGTCGTTAAACTGACGAAAATAATCTTTAAAGTTAAAATTTCCTAGCGCAAATGGGAATTAAATATTGAGTGTGGGAAAAATCAAAATGAAGAACCACTTTTTAGAACTGGAAGTTTCTGCGCGCCGTCATGTTTGATCGTAAAACCAGTATTATCTATACGATCCCCGAGAAATTCCTGCAAACAAAGGAGCTTATTTTTTTATACTTGTAAACTGTGTGACTTCAAGCGATCAAATTTGGCGCCTACCGTGAAATTCAAACAGCACTATTACTTGCAATTGTTTCCAGCAATTTCGATTTTTGTTTACCATTTGTACTAACAATTCTCTACGATGCTAGACTTTTTCATCAGTTTAACAGCAACTTGTTTCACCGGTGGCGACTTCCTGAACTGGGTAGAGGGGTGATAAATGAAAGAACTTAAGCCACAATCTTCTTCATTCTACAAAAAGGCATCAACTTTTAATGACAATTTAACTTTTTATCAAAACGATTAGGAGAAAATGGAACAAAAAAATTGTCACGTCAGTAAGTCATAGAGGAGCGGGTTTACTGAGATTTTGATTGCTCAAAAGAGGGTTTCAGTCCTAAATAGAAAAACAAATACCATTAGTGTATCAGTACTTGGACGATGGGGAGAGGTAAAAAAAAAAAGGTTGTTTAAGTTCAATAGTCAACATGACAGTACCTTTAGTATGCAAGTGATGTAAGCCAACCACTGTGTGGATTCCAAATGAGACAGCCATTTCTTTTGTGCCGAAGACTCACAGACACCTTGCAGTCTGTACAAACTGTCTCTCACAGCATGAATATTAGGAATATCAAGAAACAACAATTGACAGCCCTGGTATCGGTTTACTGTGTCCTCTGTTCCCTTTCCCTGAAACAAGGACATATTAATAATGTTACCTAACAACATCCTAGTAGTTTAAGTACGTGATTTGTGATAGTTGTTCAAATCAACCACGCATGGAGAATCGATCATGCCTGTAAACTAGCTCCGAGCTCATAACCAGGCTCCGACTAAAAAGGTCAATGAATTCGTCAGCGAAGCGAGAAAAACATTTCTGTGAGTAAGCCATGAAGCACTGGAAGCTTAAGAAATCACAGAACTAATAAGAAATGCGACTCCCTCATCCGCCAAAAAAAAGCCACTAACTTCGGTATAAAAAATATTTCAACGTATTTAACGGAGAATTAAGAAGTTTTAATTTGCTAAGTGCGCAACAGCATTTATTTACATGTGGCAATGACGTTTGCTATCTGATCTCGTTTTCGGCACGCCCATGTAGAATAATTTATGAGGAGATTGATCTTAGCATAAGTCCCACACGAGATAATGAAAATTGAGTGAGTGAGTTCAACCGCAACAATGGAGACAGTAAAAGTAAAATCTTGGAGGCAGGGAGGACTATAATCAAGAAACACAACAACAAGAGAGCGATAGGACAGCGGATCGGTGAAGCAATACATTATCAAAATGCTCAAATCACAGCGGAGCATAATATTTAAGCCGAATGGCTTTAAAGCTGACGCGTCACCAGCTGACAGGCGTTCAAATTCTAACTTACTTTCAACATGTTACCACCAGCTGCAAACATGGACCTTGCATCAAAGATTACCAGCTTATCTGTAAATTTGTTACACTTCCTAGCAGTGCTAATGACAAGTTCATCATCAATTGAGTTCTGAAAGAAGGCAACACGAAATTGAGGAAATGAGCTAGCGTCTAAATGTCCGCGTCAGTCTGTCGGTCTGCCCTTCTTTCCGTGTCCGTCTACCTGTCAGTCTCTGTCTGCCTGTGTGCCTATCTATTGGTCTGTCTGTCCATCTATCTGTCTGTCTGCCTGTGTCTATCTGTCAGTCTGTCCGTCTGTGTGCTTATCTGTCTGCCTGTCTGTCTGTGTGCTAATCTGTCAGTCTGCCTATCTACCTGTGTGCCTATCTGTTGGTCTGTCTGTCTGCCTGTATACCTATCTGTCGGTCTGTCTGTCTGTCTGCATGCTTATCTGTCTGTCTGACTGTCTGTCTGTATGCTTATCTGTCAGTCTATCTGTCTGTCAGTCTGTCTGTGTGCCCACATGCCTATCTGTCGGTCTGTCGGTCTGTCTGTCTGTGTGCCTATTTGTCTGTCTGTGTGCTTATCTGTCAGTCTGTCTATTTGTCTGTCTGTCTGTCTGCCTGTGTACCTATCTGTAGGTCGGTCTGTCTGTCTGTGTTCCTCTCTGTCTGCTGTCTATCTGCCTGTGTCCCTATCTGTCTGTCTGTCTGTTTGTGTTCCTATCTGTTGGTCTGTAAATCTGTTTGCCTGCCTGTGTTCCTACCAGTCGGTCTTTGTGTCTCTCTGCTTGTGTGCCTATTTGTCGGTCTGTCCGTCTGTCTATCCGTCGGTTCGTCTGTCAGTCTGGCAGTTTATAACTCTCACTCTTTAATTAACTATATGTTACTCGCCAATGCATCATAATTTTTTTAGAAACCGTCTGTTTGTCTATCTGTCATTCATTTCACAGACATAGAAAGGCAAACGACTTAAAACAAATAAATACATCTTAACAACCCAACTTAATTAAGTCAAGCAAGCCGTTTTAAGTGTATAGCCAATAACCAAGCGGCAGGTTGGCTCACGTAAGGGCTATAGACCAAAAAGAACGAGGGATTGGAATTTAGGATGACAAAATAAAATTCTGCTTCCTTATTGGTCAATTTGGGTCAAACATAACCGTTGAGAAAATGACGCGCTCGGTTTCGATAGACATACGATAATACTAACTTTCCATGGAGCGTCCGTTCGGTCGCTTCAATATCATCGTTAACAAAAATGCACGAGACTTTTGATTTCTCACTAACTACAAATAAGTCTACATACCTTAAAAGCAGGTCCAGTCTTCGGCTGTGCACAACGCATAATAAAATTACCCTTTTTGAAATTGTACCAACACAGGACTGGAAGACGGCCCTATTACAAAACAAATACGGAAAAACTTGTGATTAATTTCCTTTAACCACGCCTGAAGTAAATATTAGTAATAAGCAAAAAAACTCAAACATGTAGAGACGAAAGTCTGGAGCACTTTCTACTATTTCAAGAAGAGAGAAGGAGATATATCTTTTCCCTTCCCTTCGTCCTTCCACGATGTACGTGTGGCTATCAAAGCGGCCAAAAAGTGACATGTTGGGCGAGGGATGGCGAAATATAACTAACGAAACACGAAATGCAAAGATACGTGTTCCTATTTCAAGAGGCCCAACGGCATTACATTACAACAATACAATTACAATCTCTTAACCTAAAAAGCCTCTATTGTTATACAAGTCCGTGTTCCCGACAACGACTGTATCAAGAAGATAAACGAAGCACTACATTTACTTACTTTGCTTCGAAATGCAGCACATTCTTTCAGTGTAGAATCCTGTTGACAAAGAATAGGAAAAGTAATCACCGGGTGAACCCACGCCGAATTTCTAACACGGAGCTACGGACATGGTTCAGAATGTTCTCAACTTCTTAGACTATTTAACTTCTATTAAACAACTACGCTGTCCTTAATCACTTAAATTAAATTTCAACCAATCAGGCAAAAATTAAGATCCCACGTACTAACATTGTTGAAAACGGAGATTTCTTCTATACGCCTAAGCCCTCCAAAAACGCTCCTCAGAGTTGATTTCGTTAAGAGAGCGTGAACGGACCCCAAAAAAGGTTTTCGAATACGTGTGGACAGACGACGTCAAATCGTATACGCTACGAGTAGACCCGTATATTTTGAAAACAGATAAAAAAACGTTTCGTTTTTAATGCTCTCAGGAAAAGAGCAGACGTAACCTTATTCACCTGTATTTCTCCAGGAATATAAAACAGTGGCGGGTACGATGAACAAAGGAGAAACTCTTGGTTGATTATACTGACACGCCATTTGTCAGAGACCTACAGCAAAATTAAAGGATCTTTTCATCTAAGAATCATCACTTCACTATGTTTGGGCTCATCAAAATATTTCAACACAAATCAAACATCAAAACCCGATACCAAGACATGGTGAGTGGGAAAACGAGTCCATATAAAAGGGGTTAAGCGACGTTGTGTTCCCTTGTCAAATGAATTTTCAGCACACAACATGGTTCGTTGTTACAAAGGAGTCATCACATCGGAATTACTGCGCACTAGAAAAAGATTTCACTGATGGAAAGTGTTTTACATATGTCAGATCAGGGTGCTGATCACAAACTTTTTAATGATAGCTTGTTTCACTCCATTGTAAAGGCATTACTGTTACGAGGTGGTTTATTCAACCGAGATGCAATTTTCATAGTCAAGAAAGAGATCCACCCGAGTGATCCCGTTTGGGATCTCCACGTGGACAAACCTGTTGCCTTGCAAACTCCTCATGGAAGTCATACACACTCCAGCCGCTTAGTTCTGTGTCCCTTGGCAGTATTCTGGGTGAGAAGAAGAAAGTTATCTTGAATTCCTCCAAAATTATTCCACAGCTAGTTAATTAAGTTAGTTGAAAAATATTATTCTACCTTTCATTTGAATGGTCCCGCTTTAAGTGACCGATCAAAACAGATAGACTAAAAACAAACCCCTCGGTAATGGGTGACAACAACCGCTTTATGTAGGTGACTGTTAAATAGAGGTAAAAATTACAGTGTTTAAAGGGAAAGAACTAGGGACTTTGACAACCAACCGTTTACTACAGTTAGGAGAGGGGGTGGGGTTCGATGCCAACTATAGACATTCCTCCATTGAATTCCCAGAAGAGAGGAAATCTGCAAGATTTTCGACATTCCTTGGACGACTGGATTCCCATTGATCCTGACTTGACAATTTACACTTCGACTAAGCTTAGGGTTGCGACTGCGGTTTGCATCGAACACGAAGGAATTCATTTTGTGATGTTAACATTCATGTTTGTAACACAGTACCTTTTTTGTCCCCCCAAAAAAAGACAATCTAACATCAACTGGGAAATTCTCCGAATCTGAAGAAAACGACCTTTAAATTACAATAACCAATTGTTCTGATTTCACTCTGTAACTGAGCATGTTGTGCATCTACCCCTCCCCTAATCAAACATTAACCCTGGATTGATATTGGTACACTATTGTTGGGTTAGAGGAGGAGAAGCTACACAGTAACACAGCTACTGACATTGATCCTAAGGACTTTACTTACCAGGCGGCCGAACGTATTTGAAATCTCTCACTGTGTGACTGCATCACACAATCGAGTTCCATGACGACAGTAACAGTTATAATAATACGGACGAAAATTTACTCACTTAACAAAGTGCAGAGATGGAGGATTATCAACAGCATTCATGGCCAGATATTCTAGTCTTTGATAAAACACACTAATGTAAAGATTTAAAAATCTGCAAAAAAAAGAGAACAAAACGATTTATCTTACGATTGTTGTCAAATTGTTGAAACACTATGCCTGAAACGGGGTTCGCTATCATCAATAGAGTGCTTTTTGATTGAATGTCGTGAGACCGAAACCAAAGCAATCACCACAGCCAATCAGAACGAAGGAAGATATCACCGGGAACCAATGAGAACTCAGAGTAAAAACAAGCAAATAGGCCTTTTTCGATATATCAAAATTCTAACATGGCTCCGAGGCTAAGAGGAACAAGACAAAAGAAATTAGTAATCCATCCCTCTATCTCGATGTGATTTCTTTTGTTTTATTCCCCCTCGAAGCCAAATTGGAATTTTAATATACCGAAAATGGCCTCTACCCTGTAGCGCGGGAAAACGCGAGCGTTGAATCTAATTGGTCGAGAAAATGACGCGAGTTTTGTGCACCAATTACAGAGCGAAGTAGAGTAAAAGCACAGCAACCTCGGAATACTTTTGACACTCATTTGAAACTTGCTCTTTATGCAGACAATGACGTTAAAACTCACTTGAATTATATTTTTATCATAAACTGCATTTATTAAGCTTTCTTCTGATGTGTAGTTTGCTAGGAGTTTAGAGAAACTAGCGCGCGTACGAAGTTTTTCCCGAAGGAGAAAACCGTGAAAGAACATGATCACGGAGAAACCGTTTTCGGCCTCAACAAGGTTCGTTTTGAAACTATTTGTATACCAAGTTATTCTATTTGCACTCACGTGGAGGCCGGTATCAACTCAGTCTTTAATCTCTCCGATGCATTACTCATTGATCCAACACCGCTGAGAGCCGCTGCTAATAATCCTGGACCCAACACCCCTGAGGTACCTTGAGGAACAAGCTGTGGACCATCAGACCCGTGTGAGCTGACACCCGCCACACTGCTGCTACTACTGCTACTGCGTGACAGGATCCGGAAACTGCTGCAACTGCTGGGTCGTGTGAGGTTTCCCGCAGACTCATTTGCCGCGAGAAGGTCTGTTGGTTGAGATTGGTTTGAAGGTTGTTTCCCTGTTGTACATAATGTATAATCAGCGTTAAAGTGAACAATTTCTTTAGAAACAGCCAATCAGAAGAAAGGAGGATAACAAAATGAGCCAATAAAAACTCAAAATAAATAAATAAAAAAAAAGGGCGGGAAAACGCGAGTGACCAAACGCGCCTGGTTTTAATTATGTATTTGATTGGTAGAAAGAGTAGCACACATTTTCCAAACCAATCACAGTTAAGCAAAACCAATGCAATCCCGCGTTACTTTCGCTGCTCAAAATTGAAAACTGCTCAAAGAAAGATGTTAAAAATCTCAAAACACGAACGTGAGATAAAGAATATCTGAATTCTCAGTAGGGATCAGAAACGAATCAGTCTGTCGTTTGCATGTTTTGAACAATAACCATTGTGGGACACATTCCTTTGTCATAGACTGAAGGTGGTATATTTTTGCGGCGTTTTACTTCGCGGGATATGTCCAGAATGGAAAATTATTTTGGAGAATCAAAGGAAAGCCATTTCCATAACACCGGTCGTCTCACCATCAGTGCCTTCTCCCTCCGAACCTGTTGACGGTAGGCTTGAGTCTTTGACACATTCTGCATTGCTGGGTTGTAGTGAAGCAAGAATAGAATCTGGACTGGACTGCATACTTCCTGGATCCGGAGGCATATAAAAGCTGTGCAAGTATTGAGGTTTTCTCATGAAGATTAGCCGGATTGTGCGGAAATCCCAACATCTTATAGTCAGCGTCTTCACATCAGAGAAACCAGCATTGCCTCTAACAGTCCTTGAAACAACCTTCATGAAAGACAGAAAGGAGAAGTTATGCGTTTAAGCATTGGGGGTGCTGATAACTTATCCATCAACCTCAGAAGCGTTGAGCCAAATAACTTATTAATAATCAAAGGTTGAAAACAGAGTGCGGGATCTAACAACAAATAGGGGCATGTTCTTAATTACAGGTTTTGTTGACATGTATAGATCTCAATTCTCAAACTAATTTCCTTTCTTGGTTTTATTTACGTGCACTTTTTTCATTTCATAATATGTCTTACAGTTACTTGTGGGTGTGTTCTGAAGTAAAGTGCACATCTCATACAGAGTGTACTCCATAGTGATCTATAGGGAAAACAAAGCTAGTTTTACAGTAAAGGCATATCCACTTGACACCATAAGGTGATTTCTGAAAGGAGGGATAGGGCCAATGCCTGCTCTTGTGGAAATAATGAGGCCATTAGGTAGTGAAATTCAGCAGCAACCTCAATACAGTTTTAGGCAGCCCACAGAGTATCTTATCAAAATTTTGCTTTGAGAAGCTTCACATCACACAGAAAAATCAATATGACATCAGAATGAATGTTATTTACAAATTAATTCTAGGGTCTTTCTACACTCCTGTCTCCAATGTAGTCAAAAGAAAATAGATGAAAATGTTTTGTGATAAATTAAACTTAAGGAAACTTACTTTTTCATCTTCCCCTCTGTCAACTGACTGGATGTTATTTAGTGCAACTGTCAAAGACATGTCCTGTAACATGAGACCAAATGAAAGAAAAAATAAAATATGAATTAATCAGTATCTTCACCAACATCAGTTGAGTTGCATAAAAGAACAAAATGTTCTTGCATGTTTTGTTACATCATAAGCAACACTAATTCTTCATGTAGACAAGTAAAAGGTTTCAGACAACAGAGCCATCAAAGGGTTACAAAAGCTTTGTTAGAAATTATTTCAATTTTAATTGAGGTCTAAAATAAATACTGCAGCCTTACTATCCTTTCTATCATCCTATCAAAAATTTAATCTCCAAGAACACATTTCCATGTGTTATTTGACACTTCTGTGTACCATGAAAATTTTGGGAAAATTGACTGTTTGCAAATTCTGTGGATTGTTCTTGATATGCATTATTAGGCTCATGCAGGAAAAATAAAAGATCCTGCAGAACAGAACACTGCAAAAAATGGCAAACTACCACTTTTACAGACTGAGCCAATAAACTTTTGACAGAAAAAAAACCAACTACTTTTTAATTATAAGAAGAAACCTGACCTAACATGTAAATAAATTTTCTGAATCACAAAACCTAATTCCCACATGTTCAATGATAGAGTGGTGACCAAATTTAAAGATATAACCTTTACTGCCTCACTGCCAGTAATACTCTGCTGCTAGAACAAAAACAATTGCCAATTATCACTAGTTCCCAACAGAAATCAGTCAGAGTTTGTTCCAGATGAGGAAAAAAACACTTCTATGCAAAATTAACTCTCACAAGATTTTCCAGCAACATGATAGATACTCACATAAGTATACCCAGCTGCAGTCAAACCAGACAAGTGACAGAGAATCACAAGTCTGCAAAGCAAATGAAAAACAAATAAATTTAGAAGCCAGCATATAAATTTATGCAGGACAGCTGTTATTAAAAAAATACAGTAAATGTCTACTCATTTTACATGAATACAAAACACTGCAAATAATGCCCACCTGAAGTTTGTAAGGTACATTCGCCCAATACCTCTGTGTTTACTGACTTCAACAACCACATCATCAATAACCATCTCCACTCTTTCTGCATCGCCTGCCAACATGTCAGATGCAAAATGACTACTACAAAATATTAACCATGTAGATGGCAGCATGGCCTTTTTGCTTAAATGCTGGAATTCTAATCAGGCGGTTGTGTCATAATGCCTGCTACCCTGCTACTCATGGAATTTATTTTCTCTTTCCTCTGTGAAATTTATTGGTTTTGCCCTGAAAACAGTAAACTGGTTTGCCTCCTACTGTAACAAAGAGTTTAGGTTAAAAAAAATCTTATTTTAATGCTACAACATACACCCAGAGTTACAAGTTACAAAAAATCTGAATAACTAACAAACCAAAAGCACATACAGTATTGCTGTTAGATTATTAATAGCACCCTCATTCTGATTAGTTTAAGTGCTTGTGTGTAATTTTTCACTGCTTATATAGAGCCTGAAAATTTATGCCAGCATAGTTCCAACAGTATTTTGTCACACCCACTTTTGTGCTCTAAAGCTTGTAACTGTTATTCATCTTGATCAGCTTTTCATTTTCAATGTGAGGTTAGGTGAAAACAAAATGAAAATTTTAATGAGGATGAAAATAATCTTACTGTGTTTAATTTGCAACAAAAAAGAGCACTTTAAATACAATTATATGGATAGGGCCTAAAAATACTCTGTCAGCTGATAACTATTGAAACAGTCAAACACACATGTTCCACAACAAGATTTTATTGTACAGTACATGTACCTGGAAAATCAACCACAGAATCTCCAAATGCAACAGGAATCTCAAATCCAGGTTTCCTTTTGCAAAGTGAATACAGCTCATAGTCCATACACCACCTTGGTACTGGCTTTAGAAACAGAATCAAATAATGTTTTAAATATATCAGTAAACTCACAATAAAAAGAAAATTCATCTATTAAAAAGTAGAATAAATTAAAAAAATAAATAAATAAAAGTGAACCCATCACATCACTTCAGGGGTCAGAGGTTTAGAGGAGGTTGTTACTTAAGTTGAACTTGTATTAACTCTTTAACTCCCAGATCAAATTTGTACTTCTCCTTACTGTCAACCATACAATTCTTATAATGTTAGTTCAGAGAATTTAGTATCAGATCAACTAATTATCCCCAAATTGATATTTTTCTTTATTCTCATCACTTGGTCACTTATGGGAGTTAAAGGGTTAAGTAGCACCATATTAAGTGGTCACCCTGTATTAGGCTGTCAGTTATCAAAGTTCCAAATTGTTTCCCCTTAATCACTGTAATTTTCACCTCTATTAAGTGGTAACCTCTATTTTGCAGTAGTGGTTACCCTTAACTGAGTCCCAACAGCCTGTTTGTTTTGTCCTCTACCTGAGTTGAAAGGTCACTTAAGCAGAAACACTCAAATAAAACTTGGAATAATCTTTCAAGTAAAATTTAATCCATGTTTCTCTCCCAAAATCAATGTTGGTTGCATAGCGAGTTTTTGTATCTGGAGTGGTCAATTATGGCATGTAAATTTTTTCCTTATCACTTTGTTGTAATACTCCTGTTCTGTAGAACCTGTACTAAGCAGTCAACCTTTATTAACCTTTTAACTCCCACGAGTGACCAAGACAGAATTTCTCCTTACAATATCAACACAATATCAAACAGACAAGTGATGAGAATAAAGAAAAAATATCAATTAGAGGATTATAAGTTGATCCAATACCAAATTCTCAAAACTAACATGATAAGAATTGTATCACAGACAGTAAGTAGAATTACTAATGAGATCCCTGTGGGTAACCGCTTGTAACAGGTTTGACTGCACTACTAACAATAACTGTGTGCAACTTAATATCAGCCAATACCTGAGATGCCTTCAAGGTCAGTTCCAAAAATATATCACCACGAATATTTTCTTTGGCTGAACCTCTTCCCAGGGGGAACCAGCAAGCTGTTGTTTCTTCTGACAGAAGAGAGACTGGGATTTGAATCTTACCCATGAAGTCATCACGATTGAGAGTATCATGGTCCCACACATCAATCTGGATATAGTGTTGAAGGCAGCAGTTCATGGCATTCTCAACTAAAAGAAAATCACAATTTTCAATACAAAAAGTCAATACAAAGAGATTTTAGGTAAAGCCCATCTATTTTCATTATCCAGCTTGTAAAGAATATACTACATGTCGCTAATTCAGCTGACAATGGCCTATCCATTTTCATTTCACAGCTTGTAGAAGACAAAATGGTTCATACAGCCCACCACAGTGAGTGCTTAACCCTATATACCCTCAGAGTGACTAACATTTACTTCTCCTAAAAGTAATACTACTGAATCATTCATTACAACCATAAGAATAAAGGAAATGATCACCAATCTAAGAATCTTTGATTGCTAAACAAATTCTTCTTGTTATTACCAGGGATATGTATAGCAAACAGTAACTAAAGGATAATATGCATACTGATGTTAGGGCATAAAGGGTTACACAGATCATGCCTGGCAAAACAACACAACACCAACACCTTCCTCTGTGCATCTCCTTTACAATGTTCAGTAATAACAGTAATAGTGATAAACAACTATACACTTCAAAGGATGGTCTCACTTGATTCATTCTGCATGAGCTGAGGTACACCACTGACTTCAAACTGTAATGTTTCGTGCCATACTGGAGCAATGGTGTTATACTGCACTGCCGTACGTTTCTCCTGGTTGCCAACAATCACTATACAATATGGATCAGACTTTCCTGTGGGGTCCATAACTGAAAGGTTTCGCCCCTCAACAACTGCAGAAGAAAAATTACAATTGAACATGAATCATGAGTTCCTCAACCATTTACATGTAACTGCCAAGATCTAATTGTTAATTCTCCTCTCTGGCTGCAACACATTTCCTTATTAATTAGCTAAGAGAATTCAAATCAATATCAGTATCTGGGCAACTGCCCACCTACCCCTCCCCTAACTCAACAACAGTCAATTGATAACAACTTAAGGTTAATGTTGGGTTAGGGGAGGGTAGGTGGGCAGTTGCCCAGATACTGATATATTTATCTGAGAATTCAATATTAGATCAAGATAACAACTTCTTCAAGATAACTTTGAGCATTCTCATTACATGTACCTGTTTGCTGGAGGAATTGATCAGATACTATGGGGAGAAGTTACATTTTAATGGTAACCAGTCAACTCGCCGACGGACCAACTTGTCGACGCCAACTCGCCGACGTATAAAATCAAGTAGAGACGTTGGCGAGTTGGTCGTCAATCCAATACAACTTATTAGAAGTTAAACACACAGAAAATTAAACGATATTCAGTAAAAAAACACTGGTGAACATTGGTGAACAAAGTTTATAAGGATCTCAAGGCGAATAAAGTAAAGTAAACATCGCCAATG